ACTATCAAGCATACAAGAGAGGAGAGAGAGAGAGAGAGAGAGAGAGAGAGAGAATTCTAGAGAGAGATGAAGAAATTTGCTCAAAATTGTGTAACCTCCCAAAATGGGGGAGAGAGCCCCATATATATAGAAAATCAAGCTAAAGGCTTGTATTCATCCCTCTATACACGTGTATGGAGATGAGCATCATTGAACAACAGCTGGCACAGCTGGCAAATAAATATTTGAAAAAGGAGAAAAATGCCTGTCGACCATCATCAATGTCCGATCGGCCATCAATATAGCCGACCGGCCATAAACATAGCCGACCGGCCACCACTAGTGGCCGACAGGCACAAGCCATGGCCGGTAGGCTAGGGGGATGGCCGGTAGGCTAGGGGGATGGCCGGCAGGCCACCCTCTCCTCCAGAAGTGAAGCAACAAGCTCTTGGTCCATAACCAAGCATAAAACAGACAAGATTAGAGGCTCCAAGGCAAGGCGCTCAGCTGAGACCTTTAGGGACTCAAAACAAACACGAGTAAGCACAATCATCGGGTGTTCAAACGATGACATCCAAGTCTTGAGGACAATAAAAAATGGGGTGTCTACAGTTGCCCCTCTTTGACAGAACTCGGAAGTCATGAAATGACGGGAGTGAATGTCAAAGCCCAGAGACGACCCATTTTTGACAAGGCCGAAGACTTGGACGAACAAGCAAGGAAAAACAAAGAACGGTTGCGCCCACAAGCTACCTACGTATCCCTTTTTAAGGAATCAAACCAGCACAATTCTGGGACAAGATGCAAATGACATGCACGATGTAAGAGCATAACTTATGATCATGCAATGAGACTGTAACAAAACATCTAGATGCAAATGTTATGCAAAGAAATGCTACATCAAACTCATGCATAAGAAAGTAAACAAACATGCTACGCAGGGGAAATACTAACCAAACCACATTTCATGCGGAAAGGATGTAAGAAAACTATGCTATCTTAACTACGCATTATGCAAAAAAGGCAAAGAACAACACAACCATCAGATGCACCCAAGGCGGAAAACATGATTCCAACGCATGGCACACACGAGGAAAGGAATGGTGTGAACCCAGGGACACACCCTAAGGTTCCAAACCACAGAGAATAGTGATAACAAATGAAACATATCCAACTATTATGCAACCAAAACAAAGAGCGGTATAAGCATTGGAATCCATCCGGATGCTTTTAACCAAAACGTCTTAATGCATCACGCGCGAGAGGGAAAAGAAAGTGGTGCAAACACCGGAGGGTGGTATAAACATCGGAGCACGTCCTAATGTTTCTAACCCAAAACAAGGTCGTATAAGCATCAGAACACGTTCCAAATGCTTCTAACTGGAAGGGTGGTATAAAGATCGTGCACACGTCCCAGTGTTTCTAACCCAAAACAAAGTGGTATAAGCGTTCGAACACGTTCCAAACGCTTCTAACCAGAAGGGTGGTATAAACATCAGGCATACATCCCAATGTTTCTAACCAACAAGGTGGTATAAGCATCGAAACACATTCCAAACACTTCTAACCGGAAGGGTGGTATAAACATCGGGCACACATCCCAATGTTTCTAACCAACGAGGTGGCATAAGCATCGGAACACGTTCCAAACGCTTCTAACCGGAAGGGTGGTATAAACATCGGGCACATATCCCAATGTTTCTAACCAACAAGAGAGTGGTGTAAACACCAGGCGTACCCAAGTGTTTCTAACCAAAACAGGGTGTTCAAGGGATAGGAATGATCTTACCTGGAGTTCCTCTGAATGAACTCTACATACAATATCGTCTGGTTGCACCAGCTTTGAATGAACTGTACATACAATATCGTGCCTGCATAAGAAAGAAACTTAACAGATACAGCAAGATAGGAATGCTTGTTCTATGCAAGATTAACAGCATGTTCTATGCTTAATACCAAATGCATGTTCTATGCGAATGCAAGAAGCGCATATTCTATGCAAACGTGAGAAGTGCATACTCTATGCAAGTGTGAGAAGTGCATACTCTATGCAAACATAGGAAATGCATGCTCCATGCTCGATTAACAAATGCATGTTTTATGTAGGTGAGAAGTGTATATTCATGCAATTGTGAGAAATGCAAATCCCATGCAAACGTGCATATTCTATGCAAACGTACAAAATGCGTAACTCATGCCCAAATAACAAATGCATGTTCTATGCAAGTGAGACTATGCATGACCTCATGTGAAAGACACGTTCCATGTAATGACAAAGAGGTGCATATTCTATGCAAAGACAAAAGCAGTGCATAGTAGAAACAACTCGATTGCAACCTCCAACCTACCTCTCGGAGGAGTTGTAACAGGCTAAAAGGATACACCTCACACGTGTTGAGTATCATACACTGAAAACATGGTCCGGAGCTTTTGCAAAGACCATTTGAGCTTAAAAGTGTACTTTCCTTGCACTTTCTTAAGGGATTAGGGCATAAAATAACATAAAAACAACCAAGAAGAGCACCGGAAGCCTGTCGGCCACTCTGGGAAGCCATCAGCCACCCATTGGCCACAAAATAATGTCATCGGCCACAAATGGTGGTCGTAGGCCACCGATGGCAGATTCGGGGCAGTTTTGGCATTTCACCATGGGTCTTTAAATGTAGGGCTTCAACCCTCATTCCCTCACTTCTCCATGTCCGAAATTCACTCTTTTTCCTTCTCCAGACCTTCATCTTCCTTGGATCCGAGCCTCGAATGCGTTTTCCAACACCCCAAAAACATTTTCTTCACTAAACCCTCATAGTTAACACCGCTTTGAATTGATCAAAAGTTGTTTTTGGTGTTCCTTTCTTCATTTCCATCACTTGAGGTTTGTTTCCCTCAAGTTACCTTTGAGTTCGGTGACCTTTTCCGAGCTTTGACCTTTTCTTTCATTTTTCCTCTCTCAGAGTTGACTTTTGTTGACTTTTGGTATTCCCCGCCCATTTTCCACATTTTCGACCATTTTCTCATCTTTCCTCGAGATGGTGGATGACATCCCACATGATGGAGCTCCTCCGGAGATGGAGGTGGATCCAGAGTTTGAGCCATTGCCACTCAGCATTCGACCGTTTGACCCGGCGACGTATCATCCTGACACACACGTGCTACCTCCCGATAGCATCCGTCAGTTCAGGGGGTTTGCACGAGGCGTTCCCGAGGACCTTTTACTGCTCGAGCCGGAGTCACATTTATCCCATGGCGCCTCCGAGGTATATGTTTTTTCTTTATTTTCTGCAATGTAGGTTGCATTTCTTGTATAGCTCACACTGCATTTCATCTGTTCATCCCACACACATTCTTGCACTGTATTTCTTACACTGCCTTGCATCTGCTTGTCCTGAACATACCCTTGCACTATATTTCTTATACTGCCCTGCATCTGTTTGTCCTGCTTACAAGGGGATTCACATCCCATTCGAGGATACGGGACCACCTCCGCGAGGGAGTGGTATATGGAACTTCCCGACGCAGTCCGTCACATCATTGATGAGGCTGACTTCGACGCATTTTGCATGGGGCTCTCATGTCTCATAGCGAGCCGGCCTCTACTAGGCGCTTTGGTAGAGAGGTAGTGGGATACCACTGATTCCTTTCACTTCTCTACCGCAGGGAAGATGACGATGACTCCCTTTGACTTCTCTATGCTCACCGGCATAGCGGTATGGGGTCATACGATTCCTTACGACACAGACATGAGTGAATGGGAGGCCGCTCAGATCTACCTGCTAGGGATTCGCCCACCCATCTCCCGATCAAGAATGGTTCGATATACATGGTTCGCTGATCACTTTAGAGGGACGGGGCAGACGACCCACGAGGAGACCAAGCACTATGCCTGAGGTTTCTTGATGTTCCTGTTTGGCACTACTCTGTTTGCCGACCGGGCAAACACCGTTGGGCTTTACCTGATAAGCACCTTGGTGGACCTGTCTCGTGTCCGACTCTACGACTGGGGCGGTGTAGGCTTGGCCACACTGTACGGATATATGAGCTCCACCTCCCGCCAGAGCGGGCATTTGCTAGGAGGCTACTGGAAGGCCTGGGAGGTATGTCCTACCCTTCTGTTTTTCATTTCTCGTTATGTCTTCTGCTTCGCATTTTTTGTACACTGCACATCGTATACTATACTACGCACAATTTGCTTTCTGCTTTACATTATCGACACACTACACACACTGTCTGCCTTCTGCATTGCATTCTCTGTATACTGTATACATAATCTGCTTTCTACATCATTTGTATTCATCTGTGGTATTCTCACTGTTGTCCTTCCGCCTTCTGCAGCTATGGGTGTACACCTATTTTTCGAGGCTCGCCCCAGAGCTAGAGGTGGAGATGCCACCTGTAGTGCCGTACTCCCACAAGTACAACGGGAGATGCCAGCGGAGACCCCGAGAGTCCTTCTCATTTTTCCGTCGATTCTTCGACACTGTGACCGCAGCAATTTTTGTGTATAAATAGAAGTGTTGGATGTGGAGAAAAATCAAGAACTTGAAGAGAAAAATTTTCTGTGAGCTCCAAAATTCTAAGTATTCTATTCTTTCACTTTCAGATCTAAGTCTAGCCTTTGTTCTTACACTTTCATATCTATTCTTTGTGTGAGAATTATTGTAAAAGTGGGTTCAATTACCACTTATTCTTATTCCTTATTTTTGTGAGAGATTTTGTAAGGGTAAGACATTTATTGTTGAGTGAGGCTCAATAGATAAGAGTAAATCCTGTGCCAAATCCACAAGCTTGGTGGTGTATTTATTCAATTGATAGTAAAGAAATTCTCAAAGAGGTTCCTTGGGGAGTGGACGTAGGCCTGGCGTGCCGAACCACTATAAATCGCAGAGTTTGATTTTCTCTCTCTATCTCTTCTACTTTTATATTGATAATTATTATTCTATTTTTTTTTATTTATTAAAATTCTGAATATTGTGTTATTTTTAATATTGTGAAATTTTTAATAACCCAATTCACCCCCTCTTAGGTTGCCTATCTAGGAGAACAATATCCCCACAGACATTTTCATGCATATCATTTCAGCTCAAGTAATACATCTTGCTAACAACACTGAAAGGAGCTCAATGAACAACAAGGATCCATGTTCAAGAATCACAAATAAAATAGAGATCTTCTACCTAAGAGAATGAAGATCAAGATGTATGTGAGCTTCATCTGATGTTACTTGAGCTTTAAGTGCCATGAGAATAGCTTGCTGCTTAGCATTCTCAACTTGAGCTTCTACCCACTGTCTTTCACTCGTTCCAAATCTGTCACAGTATTGAACAAGTATAAACCTTTTTTTATAAGTATTGGACATCTACAAACTATATAGCCAGATAAACAATTATCACAAAGTTATAAAAGAAGCATGTTCAAAAATGTAGGTCTCTTGTTTAAGAAACAATTTCTGACAAAAAAATTATTGAACCTGATTGCATAATATACTGAAGAACTAGACATTCTCACGATAATGTTTCAGAAGTAGGATCAATCTAACATATCTCATTGTCATGTGCATAATAATAACACAGGTGACAGAGAGAGGAGGCGGAGGGCTCTGTCACAATTTAATTGATAACAAAAAAAAAAATCCCAACAGAACAAGATATTCAAATTATATCACTCACCCCACAGCAAAAACATCCTCAATGATCAAAATGTGAAAAATAGAATACTAGAAATGTCATACAAGGACATATCAAATTCATCAAATTCAATTTTTTCTTTATAGAAGGTAAACTGGAGAAAGAGGGAAGATGGATACATATTGAAAAAAAAAAAAATTGAATGGCAAAAAAAAAGAAAGTTGGGTTGATTACAGAAGATGGTCACATCTCACAGCAAGAACCAAACAAAACCTCTTCAGAGAACCATATCATAGTTGTCATTGACCTTGGCTAATATTTTTTCCTTCTACAGATAAATACCACCTGCACATCTCTTTCCTAATTAAAACTTGAAAAAGCCATATTCATCTAGATTATAACCTCCTTCAAAATCCCATAAACATTAAAACCAAACAATTAAAATGCAAAGAACCAAAAATTTTAAAAAGTTGCATAAGTATAATTACATACATAGAGCGAAGCCGTTGCAATTCAGATACACGTTGATGATGTGACTTCTCGAAATCTGCTGCATCAGTAAAGGGAGAATGATAAGTCAAAAATTCCTGCTTTATTTTATTATAAGTAGACTTGATAATATATGGCCTATAAAAATTGAAATTGTCTGGATATGTATATGTGGGTTGGTTTGTGTCAATGCCTACAAATTGACAAGAGGATTTCTCAAAGTCTGCTAAGCTGCAGAAACAAATATAACCAAAAGAAAATATGTTTTTTTGTGTGTACTTATTTGCACCATTGACATTGAGCCTTCTTCGTACCATGAGTGAACTAACGGATGACTCTTCGAATGAAGAAAATGGTGTACACGAATCTTGTTCTGGAGAAGTGAGATGAAGTTGTCTATTTGACATATCTAGAAGGGAGGGGGGAAATAATTTCAAAATATGAGGCTTAAAAAATGTAATTAATATTGTTACAAAAGGAAAGAAAAGTAAAATTTAGATTTTTAAAATTTTTCTATTTGATGCAAAGGCTAAATCAATTACAAATAAGACACACGACAAAAGAGATTTAAATGAATGAGATAAATTACTCGCACCAATTCCACTATGCTAAAAGAAGAAAAGAGTATAATTCAACTAATTAAATATGCAACTGTGTGGGGCATACAATACCAATCAGACTCTACAAACCCAACAAGTAAAACATTCAGAGAATAAAATACAATTGGTATCTCAAAGCCCTAAATATAAATATACTTAGACGATAGTATACCACCCAGTATGATGACAGGGACAAAGCTCACATGAGAGGCCAACCAGATTATTCATGGGTCCCCCTCCAGCTCAAGTAAAATATTAATTATATAACAGTATGAAAGTTTGAATGATTATAACAACACAAGTATTCTACAAAATGAAATTGAAAACCATTAGTTTCATATAGAGATGTCATGCCACATTATCTTTTGTCATATATATGTGTTTTATTATGTGGAACTCATTAGTATTTCTAGCATTAATGTGAAATTTTAAAACTACATAAATAGGATATTAGGAGACAAGTTTGTCCAGTTAATTTAATTTACTAACTTTTATTAATCAAAAATACAAAAAATAAAATGGGTTGAATACTGCACTCAATATATATTCCTTTCTCCCTCCCTTACGTTTAAAGTCCTGTTTCTCTCTCTTCTAATAAGGAAGAATTTATTCAAGGAAAATTGCCCAACTTGAGAAGCTTCCAGGGAGGCACCCCTAACCCCTAATAAAAGAAAAACAAAAAGGAAAACAAAGGAAAATTAGACACCTCTATAATATCTCACTCTTTCTTTCTGCCTTCCTTCCTTTGTATCTCTCTCTACCCTCATTTGTGTAGTGGAATAAATTATAAATATGTATACATATATTTTGCCTGAAACAGGTGAATGCTGGATTCTTGACTCCAGGGTTTATGGGGTTATATGTGGTGTTCCTCTGCTGGTGTGCCGTTAGAAGGCATGTTTCTAATTTTCTAACTTTCTTATCATATCCAACAAACCTTAGCCTCCAACAACACACACTCTTTTCTTTTTCCCCAAAACCAAAGATTAATTATATCTGTGTTTCACAGTGAACCACCAGAAACAAAATCCAGATGATCAGAAACCCTTCAACCCAAAAATTGAAGAACAAAAGTAAGGAATAGAAACATGCCACAAAGGATTGAAGAGAAGATTTTATCTTCTAGTCCCAAATCTTCACCAAAACAAAGAAACGTTGAAATAGAGATGTGTTCTTCGTTCGATTCGATGTTGTGACCCTAGCCCCAAAATTTGTCTGCAGAGAGAGATGAGATGATGAGACCAAATCTCTTGAAATAGAGATGAAAAATAAGAAAGTAAGGAAGGAGGAGTAGAGAAAATAGAGATGAGATGATTTTATCTTCTCTCACACTTATTCGAATCAGGAAAAGCTTGGATGGAAACAAGGTTTTGTTTTGCGTGAGAGAAGAAAACCACAGCAGCTTCCAAATCTGAGGACTGAACCCTAATTTCATAACACATATATATATATATATATACCAGGCTCGCGAGCCCAACCGGGCCGAGCCGAGCCGAGCCTTACCAAGCTCGGGCTCGGCTCGTTAAGAAAACGAGCCTAAAATTCTGGCTCGAGCTCGTTTATTAAGTAACCAAACCAAGCTCGAGCCGAGCATAATCGAGCCGAGCTCGAGCCTGTTCGCGAATAGCTCGGTTCGTTTTGTAACCCTAGTTTTAGGTAATTTTTAGTGTGATCCATAGGGCTGAGTAAGGAAATCAAAAAATTCACAATTCAAATTAGTCTAGTTCAATCTAATAGGTTTGGATTGGTTTTTTGAATCTGTAATTCAATTTTGGTTTGGAAAATTAGAGAATCAGTCTCTGCGGATCAGTTCTAGATTTAAGTTCACGGTTCCAGATTAGAACCAAACTAGAAAGTATGCAACTTAAAATTATATACATACTATACACCTTGATGCATATAATCCTAGATATTATGTTTAAGTTATGATTTGAAAAATTATGGGCAGATTTATGAATATTTGCTTAATGTTATGTTTTTATTTGGTGTGCATGTTATTATTATATTTTAAAATTTATGATAGGTTGAATTTTTTTGAAAATGTTATATGATATTTCTTGTGAACAAATTATGTAAAACCATAATTCTAAAATGAGCCGAACCATATTTAAATGATTTGGTTCAGATTAGTTCCATGATTTTAAATATATTGGTTTGGTTCCAACTTTATGAAACCGTAAACAATGGATTGGTTTTGGTTTTACCCCAAATTGAACCAATCCAAACCATAATCACCCCAAGTGATCCGGTTTCAATTTACATTAAAGTTGATTTTATATATTGGATAATGTTATCATATATAAGTTATGTCATTTGTAAATTTGATTATTACAATTGGCATAACTCAATATTATGGGAATTATAACTATAAAAACAAATAAGTTATAATTAAACACACAAAAGATATAGCAAAGAACTCTTGAATCATAACTAAAATATTGTCATTACTAACCTCACAATGAATGATAATTAACAACACAATAGATTATAAATAAAAACACAAAAATTGTAACTAACGGTGCATTCTCTCCAATAATATTACATATTTTTAAAAAATATATTCAAAAAAGTACTTGAAAAATTGTATTAATGCATCACATTCATTTTAAGTGTGGTTTGCATTCTCTCCGTTCCTAATTTCGACTGACACATAGGTCTATCATGAATTTCGTTTCAATAATTTAAATCATTTATTTTGTAAGGCGAATCCACTATGTGTATTATTTATATAAAAAAAAATTATGTTAATCTGATAATCGTAACTTATTCATTTATTGTATTTATTTGTAAAAAAATTAATGGTAAATATGTTTTTAAAAATAAATCATCCATTTTATTGTTTAACTTGCTACTAATTTATAAAATTATCCTTTGAATTTTGTTGTATTCGCTAATCACGTAATATACTAGGCGAACTTATCCACTTAAGCCAATTTTGACTCCATGAATGACATCATTTCTAACTTCACCATTTTTATTACTATTAGATATATATTATGTTAGATATATTATTATGCTTATCTGATGTATTGTAGATGTATCTTATCTTCTTTTCTGTACTTATCTCTGATGTATCTCTATCTTCTTTTATATACTTATCTAGGTTTTTTCTCAGCCTATAAATACAGGCTCCTTGTATTTCATTCATTAATTCAATATAGAGTTTCTCTTTTTTCTTTTCTCTCTGCTTTTTCCGGATTCCTCTCAAATCACTGCTCCTACCACTGCTACCACTGCTACCACTGCTCCTCCTTTATCTCATTTTCAGCTTTGGCACTATCGTTTGGGCCATCTTTCTGTTGGTCGTTTGAAGTCTTTAATTTCTAGTGGTCATTTGGGTACTGTAAGTTCTGATGCTTTCAATTGTGTGTCCTGTCAACTTGCAAAACAACCTGCTTTGTCGTTTAATAAAAGTGATTCTGTTTCTCTTGCGCCCTTTGATCTCATTCATTCTGATATTTGGGGACCCTCTCCTACTCCTACTATGGGAGGCGCACGTTATTTTGTTGTTTTTATAGATGATTTTTCTCGTTTTACATGGTTGTTTCTTATGAAAAATCGCTCTGAACTCAAACAACTTTATTACAATTTTGCTGCAATGGTTAAAACCCAATTTTCTAAAACTATCAAGATTTTTCGCTCCGACAATGCCATGGAATATAAAGATTTTGACTTTCTTTCTTTCCTTAGGAGTCATGGTACTTAACCTCATCGTTCCTGTCCAGGTACGTCCCAACAAAATGGCCGTGCTGAACGAAAACATCGGCATCTACTTGACACTACTCGAGCCCTCCTTCTCTCTTCCTCTTGTCCAGAAAATTTTTGGGGTGAAGCTGCTCTCACTGCTGCTTACACTATCAATTGTATCCCTACACCGGTCATTCATAATCACACTCCATATGAGCGTTTACATGGCACCCGTCCCCCTTACGACACCCTTAGGGTTTTTGGCTCTGCCTGTTTTGTTCTTCTCCAACCTCATGAACGTACCAAACTTGAACCTCGTTCTCGCCTTTGTTGCTTCTTGGGGTATGGTATTGAACATAAAGGGTATCGCTGTTGGGATCCTCTCTCCCAGCGTCTCCGTATCTCTCGTCATGTGGTCTTTTGGGAACACACAATGTTTTCCTCCCTCTCTCAATTCCGTTTATCAGTTCCCTTACCCTCTCTGTGTTTTACTAACCCTTCTGCAGATCTGTTTTCTGATGAGCTTCCTTCACTGCCCATGCTTGACTCTCTTGAGACTGCCTTGCCTACTGGTCTTTCTCAAGCACCTGCCTGCTCTGATGGTCCTGATTTTGCTCCCTCGGACTCCTCACCCCCTGTTGAGTCTCTTCCTCTGGCTCCACCTCCTCCTGCTCGACCACACCGGGTAATCCAACCTTCTACTCGTCTTCGTGACTTTATTGTTGGTCTACTGCTTTTTCTACTTATGAACCCACCTCCTATCGGGAGGCTCGCTCTAATCCTCTTTGGCAGCAAGCTATGACTGATGAATTACAGGCCTTAGACAAAACTCACACTTGGGACATTGTTGATCTTCCTCCTGGCAAGACTGCTATTGGCTGTAAATGGGTATACAAAATCAAAACCTGTTCTGATGGCTCTATTGAGCGCTATAAAGCTCGCCTTGTTGCTAAAGGCTTCAATCAAGAATATGGTATTGACTATGAGGAGACCTTTGCTCCTGTTGCTCGTCTCACCTCTGTTCGCAGCCTCATTGCAGTTGCTACTACCCGACACTGGGATCTTTATCAAATGGATGTGAAAAATGCCTTTCTTAATGGTGTTCTTCTTGAGGAGGTCTACATGCAACCTCCCCCTGGGTCTGCTTATCCACCTCATAAAGTCTGCAAACTTCAACGTGCTTTATATGGTCTCAAACAAGCTCCCCGTGCTTGGTTTGCCAAGTTCAGCTCTACTATTCATGACTGTGGTATCACCTCCAGCTCTTATGATACTGCACTGTTTATCCGCAAAACTGCTCAAGGGACCACCTTGCTTCTTCTTTATGTGGATGATATGATTATCACCGGTGATGATGTCAATGGTATTCTTCATCTTAAACAATTTCTTAGTCATCATTTCGAGATGAAAGACCTTGGTCCTCTCAGCTATTTCTTGGGTCTTGAAATATTCCATGATTCCACGGGTTCTTTTCTCTCTCAAGCTAAGTACACATCTGATCTTCTCACCCGTGCTGGTCTTACCGATTGATATGGGTGTTTCCTTTTCTGGCGCTACCTCTCTTTATTGTGACAATCAGAGTGCTATTCAGATTGCTCACAATGATGTTTTTCATGATCGCACCGAGCATATTGAGCTTGATTGTCATTTCATTCGACAGCATGTTACCCGTGGTACTATTCATCTTCTCCCTATTGCTTCAGCCGATCAGCCTGCTGATATTTTCACCAAGGCTCATCCTCCTGGGCGCTTCCGTGATCTTGTTTCCAAACTCAACTTGGTCGCTGCCTCCCCTCCTTGAGTTTGCGGGGGGCTGTTAAAGTATACAAAGAATACACTGTAAAGCACACACACACACCAATACACTGTAAAGCACACACACACACCAGCAAGTATACAACGAATACACTGTAAAGCGCACACACACACCAGCACACACCCACTAGCATCACATGTTCAGATCACACTGTAAAGCACACACCAGCACACACCCACTAGCACACCCCAGCACACAAAGAAAGCTTTAGCAATAGTTTAATGTACCTTCTCCTCTCTATAAATAGAGAGAGCCCAGTCTCTTGTAAAATATATATACATACAGCTTTCTCTGATGCTGATTGGGCTGGCGATCCTACTGACCGCCGCTCTACTACTGGGTTTTGCTTTTTTCTGGGTGATTCTCTTATTTCTTGGCGCAGTAAGAAACAGTCTCTTACTGCTCGCTCCAGTACTGAGGCTGAATATCGTGCCCTTGCTGATACTACTCAGGAGCTTCTCTGGCTTCGTTGGCTTCTTGCTGACATGGGTGTTACTCCCTCTGGCGCTACTGCCCTCTTTTGTGACAATCACAGTGCTCTTCAAATTGCTCACAATGATGTTTTACATGATCGCACCAAGCACATTGAGATTGACTGCCATTTTATTCGGCAACACGTTACTCATGGTACTGTCCATCTCCACCCGATCTCTTCTGTTGATCAACCTGCTGATATCTTCACCAAAGCTCATTCTCCTGGCCGCTTCGTTGACCTTGTCTCCAAACTCAAGTTGGTTGATGTTTGTCCTCCTTGAGTTTGAGGGGGGATCACTACAGGAAAAAGGGGCTATAGCAACGTTTTGTTTGCGACGTTTATAAAAACGCCGCTGTTTTTCAATTAAAACAACGTTTTTAAAACGCTGTATTAGATTTCATTTAAACATCATCTACGCGTGGTAATTGGCTAACGCCGTTACCCACATCCTAAAGCCCTAAAGCTGCGATTTCTCCCCCCCTCCTCTCTCTCTCTCTCTCTCTCTCTCTATCTATCGAGCTCGAATTCATTCTGAGCAAAATTGATTTGCGATTTGCGATTTGCGACTTCTCTCTATTTCTCGCTCCAGATTTGCGATTTGTTGTCGATTGTCGAAGATTTGAAGATTTAGAGATTTGAATCTGAGCGATTAAAGTTCTCAGTCTACTCCTTCAGATTTGTTCTCAGTCTACTCTCTCGCTTGATTTCGAACACGCTCTCTGTCTCGATTTCGAAAACTCTCTCTCTCTCTCTCGCTCGATTTCAGATCTGGAGATGATTTGAAGGCCACCGCTTGGATTGCAGATTTTGAAGTTTTGTTCTCCATTTTGTGAGTTTCAATTCGTTTAGCCATTTCTTTTTCTTTTTGTTTTGTTTTTTTTTTTTTTTTTTGAAAAGTTTATACATTCATACTCATATCTTGCATCTCTATAACACATATCTCTGATGGATAAACATGAGTTGCGGTCGATTGCTTTGATTCATTTTATAACACATATCTCTGGTCAATGATTTTATGAAGATGGCTCCATACATTTAAACTTGATAATTTTGTTAAACGTGTTGTTTCTCTTGCTTTGTATGGGTCCACTGTTTAGTCTATGGCCATTCGTTGTGCCTCAGATTAGTGATTAACCTTTATGCTCAAGTTCTCCTTCAAATGTTGACTCTAATTCCCATTTTCATTGTCTTGATGTAGCATATTTGTGCCTCATCAAGAGAATTGAGATATCTTTGTTATTGTTTAGACTAAGATGATGGCATGAGGCGTTTGGATCTGATCCGGACCTGAATTGTGAACCCTGTACTCGACACCCTCAACTTAAATCTTTAGGTATGAAATTTTGTGACCTGAAATTGCTTCCGAAGATTACTATAAAATGAAAATTATAATGCCCTGATTGTGGATAAAAAACTTATTAATTTCATATAGTCACTTGTGTGTTTATGTATATTGTTGCTTAGCAGCATATTGTCATCTTCTATTTTATGGTGAATCTCCATCGGTATTTTCTTGCATAGAAGGTATGGATTGCATTGAAAAGAGCCATATACCAAAGCTTTGTCAAAGGTTGTGATGTTCAAGAACAGTGTTTGTGGTTGCTTTATGAAGTTTGTGACATCTATTAAAGCATTCCATTTATACACCAAACACATTGAATGAAATTTGAATTTATAATAAACTTACCTATTTAAGGTCCAAGCTTTACAGCGTAAGTTTTCTTTTCACTGAGAACTTGTGTCATCTGTACTTTGAATTTATAATAAACTTACAAGGCTGTTTAAGGTCCTAGCTTTTTGGGATAATATTGATTGATTGATTGTGTAATTTATGTTTTACTTCAATGATAAATGAAATGAATGCGCATGTTGGCAGCTGAAGTTGAAATAAGAGTGAAAATATAAATATGTATCAATTGTAGATGTTACATGTATTAGGTATGAGTATTAGATGCGGTGTTATGTTTAATGTGGACTTTTCAATGCAACACATTTGCTGCAGCTATGTTGTTAGACTGACTTAATTTCCTTATTTTTATCAATTCATTTCTTGTAGGCTTGTCTTTGTATTGTAGCTAAAACTAGTTTTATGAAATATTTTTTTCCCCCAAGTTGGTCCCTGTTCATGTAGAATTTTTGTTCTCCAAGCAAATTGGATGAATGGTCTTTTCTTTTTTCTGATGAGCGGCATGAAAAGAAATTGCTGTAACTTTTCTGTTAATTAAGTCACTATTTTATTGACACAATGGAGGGGGTTTTTCTGCTATTGCCAAGACTTTGGCCACAGTTCTAAGCATGACCTAAATAACAGATTATGTACTAGCAAATCATTTCTTTTTCAACTATTGATGTATGAATTCATTTGTTATGATAAAAAAAATTGTCCGGTGATCATTCCCTAGTAGTGCCTTTTTATTTTCCTTTATTTCTTTAGAGATCTGGAGTATTTGTCTAATTATATGTAACTGACAGGTGGTTTATATTTAAACAGGATGAGAAGGAGATACAGAAGACAACACTTAAGCAGCATCGCGTGTTGCGGTCAGCCACCGAGTTCAAATATTGCTACAAACTTGTTGTAATGTCCCTATAAATTATACATTACACTGCATAACATTCTATTGTCAAATCTTCCATCTTGCCATCACAAAGATTAAATTGCACAAGCAAGATGTCTCTGCCAGCTTATTTTCTAATTTTCGACGTGCTAATTTATGCAGGAGAATAACAATTTGAGATCAGCTATTTCTACCACAGATGATACTGAGGTGGGCAATGGATATGTGGTTTTAGTTATATTGGGTTATTGAACTATAAATGAAAAGTGTCAGATCTTTATAAACTTAAATCTTAAGATATTGTACCTGAAAATGGGATATAGGTACCTGAAGATATAATGGACACTTACATATATTACATATTATATAATAGGCAAATGCTAACAAGTGCCCCCTAGACATTTTTAAGGTTGGAAAATGTATAAAAAGTGTCTTGAAAATATGTAAAAATATTAAAAAATGTATTGATTTCAATAAAAGGGCATTAAAGTTAGTGAAAAGTGTCTTGTATTTTATAAATAATTTTTCTTTTACTTGTGTCCTAGGGCACGTGTTAGCAAGACCCTATATAATATTTTTAGATAAAATGATGTGAATTATGTAGAAATGTAAAATTCAATAGAATTTAGTAAAAGCGTGGAATTTTTGTTAGAAAATTTAATAAGTTTCTTCTTTAAGCATAGTAAAAATTGGAAGATCCAAGCGTATCTGATAGACACTAGTACTTCAAAGAAAATAGAAGAATTCATGTAAGATAATTGCTTGCATAAAATGCGAATGATGGTATATCCAATATGCAAATCTTGATTTGTAATTTGGATTTATGAAAGTTGGTTTTCATATTCCTACTGCACACACTCTCTTCAAACTCAGATCGGATTGTCAGTTGGTTTTCTTGCTTTCCTTCTTTGGTTTTTTAAAATAACTTTCAACCCCAAATGCAATTATCAGCTCCCATCAAAAGATGAGCTTAAAACAGTGCTCGATAAAGTGAAGGACTTCTTCGGGGATGCCAAGGAATCGTTTGGCAAAATGACAGCCCTAAATTCAACAGCAACAGAGGAGTTGGAGGAAAAACCCCAAGAGAAATCCAAGTGAGTTATATGATTAAGTATTTTAGCCAAATATTCACTATAAGTAGTCACATCACTCTCTATTTTTCTGCACATCTTTTCGTAAAAAATCAAAAAATTATTAATGTAGTTTGTTTCCAAACGAGGCCTTCGTTTTAACAGCTGTTTGATCGTTATCTTGATGATTTTTTGATTTTCCAGGGTAAAAAGCTGAAGCTGAAAAGAATTCACTTGACATGTTGCGGTGGCCGGAGGATCTGTGAGATTGAAGAGCTTCATATAGTTCAAAATCACTATCCAGCAAAAACAAAGTGAGTTTTCACAACAGATTTACTGCACAGTTTTGTCCATAGATCTTTGTGTACTAAAAAGAGTGTGTTATCACTTCCATCAGAATTGAGCCTCTGCTAGGTTTTCTTTGCACATTAATGAAATGTTATATAGTGTTTGTTGGGTTATGTTTTTGTTTTTGATGTTTCTGGAAACAAAAATTATGAAAACAATCATTCTTCTAATTTTTGTGCAAAAACAGTTTTGAAAATATGAAACTTTTTGGTGTTTCCTAAGTTGGTTTTTAGAAGATATTTTTTAAAACAGTTTTCTAAAACATTTCATCGAACAAGGTTATAGTGTTTGAATTGTTGGAATTGAGGAAGATCTATGTTACATTGACGAGGGTGCGTATCTAGAGTATGAACACATCAAACCCCAAAATTCATTATTTGGAGCACTTTTGTACAAGTGAAAAAACACTGTTAACGTGCTTGGAAAGTACAGAACTAAGACCTCACTGATTATAACTTCCCTTCGACCCAAGAGTACATATAAATATATATATTTTTTTTTCAAAAAAAATAATTAGAAGGGGTAACCAACTGTAGTAATCTTCCTTTGGAATGAAATTTAGTGTAATTTAGTGCTTGTCAAATAAGAAAGGTTTTTTAGAACTGATCATTGGTGCCAAAACTAATAAATATATTCACCATTTGGGATGATAATGAGTTGGGTATTATGGGACCCACACATACTTATCCCTACCCTACCTTTCCTGTTTTTCACATAGAAACTCCAACAACCTGTCCTGCCTGCACTGCACCTGGGACAGTTTCTCTATCATTGCCCCAGTGACATTCTCTAGACTTGTTTCTGTGCTACCAAGCCTCAAACCTGGGACAGTTTCATCCTACAACAAGGTTAGCAAGCACTTATTAAATAAGTATAAATGCCCTCCTCCATATATTTGTCTCGGTTCATCTGGAAAAACAGATTACCAGTATATGCTTGATCCATCTCAGCTAACTCTATCCAAGACCTCAGAGTTGGAATCCTCAATAGGTTCATTTAGATCAGGTAGCATAAATTTATTCTCCTGATTTATGATCTCCTGTTGCAGCTTGGAAGAATCGTATATAGGCAATCACAAGAACAAACTCGTATCATCCAAACGTAGGTCCAAGAGCAACTTAACCAAGTATATTTTATGGCTGCTGTGTCTAGGCTAAAGTCTAAAATTTTATGGCTACATGGTTTAGAGAATCATCCTCTTAACCAAGTATATTTTATGGCTACATGGTTTAGAGAATCATCCTCAGTTGTGGCTGCTGTGTCTAGGCTAAAGTCTAAAATTTTAACAATTGTAAGTGCAAGTGATTGGCATGACTGGAGGCTTAGGCTAATTGAAAATTCATCTAACTTTTACTATGTGATACTTTTTTGAATGAACTCCATTCACTTACCAACCACAACTCCTATTTCTACAGCTGTTGCATCTGTGTGAAGCAGAAAGCATATCTTACCTGGATGAGATTGCCAGCACCCCTCAAAGCATGAATTTGGCAAAGTCTGTTGCATTAGAGGTTGGTCAGCAAACCCTTTCTAGTTTGTATATTTTTACTTGTCATGCAATATGATGACACATGTTTTAATGTTTATGACACGCGCATTTTAAAATTTGGACAATTCGGCAATCATTTTTTGTAAGTAAAAGAATTCAATTATGATGCCATTAATCATCCAATTAGTTTCTTTATCATGATCAACCTATTTATTTTTTGATATCATCTCTTTTTTCCATGGAACCTGCTTATCTGACAACCTTGTTGATTTTAATACAAATGTTATTGTGTAGGTTCTTGAGTTACTGAAGACTATGTTTGCTAGAGATCCCAAACAACTTAATGCTTGCTCTGACAAAAATTACCCAATAGGCCTTTTGCAACTGAATGCAATGCGCCTGACAGATATCTTCTCTGATGACTCAAATTTTCGCTTTTACATCACAACATACTTTGTAAGCTTTTTACTAATGCCTGTAGCTTGTCATGAGTCCGTCTAATTCATATACTTGCTGTGATTCCCTTTTGCTAGTTTCTTATTTGTTATTGTAGTTCTCTTCATTGATGTCTTTATTCTCTTTTAGCCATGGGAAATCACATATTTTACAAGAATGTGAATTACTGCATTTCTGGTTGAAAGTTATGTCCTGTTTATGGGATTTACATATGAATGTCTAACATTGTATGCTTTTTAAAATCTTTTCTATGCTGAGGTTTGCTGCTAATTCATTTCATATCTCTTCAAACAGAAGTTTTGACTGCAATTTTTTCAGTCCCCCATCAAGAGTTCTTGTCTAGTTGGTGTTCATCTGACCTTCCTTTTCCGGAAGAAGATGCTACAGTGGAGTTTGACTCACATGTGGCATCTGGGTGTGTTTTGGATTCATTGTCATCGTCAGATTTACTGAATGTAATGAGTTCAGGATTCACTCTCATTCCTAGTATCATGCCTCGGGCTTCCTATGCGCATCAGAGAGTATCATTATTGGTGAAAATAATAGCAAATCTCCATTGTTTTGCACCAAAGATCTGTAAAGGTTGGTGTTTTTACTAACAATTTTTTGGTGCCAACTGCTATAAGAATTGTATCGTAGTTTTCTTGATCATTACGTGTAATATCTGTTTCATCTCACAGAGGAGAAGGATGTCTTCCTTAACAAGTTTCTTGAGTGCTTACGAGGGGAGCTACCTGAATCATCAGCTTCGGATGCTGAAAAAGCTCGCATAGTTATCAAGAATCTACGTAAATATTAGAATCTCATTATTAGTTGATGTGCGAAATTAAATGTGTTTTTATGTTTCTAATGACTGACATGTGTGTATAGGTTCCTTGTTGAGTCATGCAGAGTCTCTGACTCCTCCCTTCTTAAATGACGAGGATGTGCAACTGTTAAGGTGATTTAAACCTAAATTGTGTAATTACAAAGAAGGACGATAGAGTCTACTGAATTGAAGGTTAGAACTGTCCCTAATTTTAGTTTATTTGTGAATTTTATTTTATTAATGAAATTGAATTTTTTTAGGATTTTATTCTTAGTTTATATTTGTTTCCTTGTTGGAATTTATTAGTTTGGTTTGCCTATATATTGCTTTGGATGAACTATACTTTATTATTGTCTCTCTTATTGATTGAATATGCACACAGACTTATAGAAAGTAGACTGGGTTATTTGGTCTTATTTATTGATTGGCTTCAGGTTCATTCTAAACCATTCTAGTTGGATTGCTTTCTCCTTCTCACTTATTTGTTGATTGGCTTCAGGTTCAATCTAGTTGAGTTCTATGATATGCATGGTCATAAACATTTTAAGTCTTTGTTGTGTACTTAATGTTATTAAGAAATGCATTAGACAATGCTAATTTGTGAGGGTCAGGAAATTAAAAGGAGAGATTTAGAAGGTGGCAAGTCCATGGACATTAAATGGATTTTGTTTTTTCTCAGTAATTTAAAATTGTTGCCTAGATTCTGTAATCTACACACACAAACTTATTATTTTCTGTTTCAATAATATGCTGCCCTGTACTTGTTGTTTTTATCATTTTATTCTCTTTCCTTCTCAATCACCTTATGGGATTGTTGGAATTGCAGATTGTGAGTCTAGTAAAGACATTGTCTTGGAACTCCACTTGTTCTCTACATTAATGGGAATGGTGGCTTTCTTGAGCGAATGAAAGGAACTGGGGTTGATGTGATTGGGCTGGATTGGACAGTGGATATGGCAGATAGAAGGAAACATTTGGAAATGGAATTAGCATACAAGGAAATGTGGAACATGCCTGTTTATTTTCTACTCTTCCTGCTTTGATTGATGGAATTAAAAGGTTTGTGATGAGAACTAAAACTTGGGACTGAACTTTTCCTGTCAATTACTGCCTATACCCGATGACTTAGGAATAACTACTAGATGTTTGGATATTGACTTGCCTACTTGTTTTTTTCTTCTTTTTGTACATATGACCAAATTTGATGTTTGTATTGATTTCACATGATTCTGGGAACTTCTTTAATTAAATTATTAATCAAATTTGATTTCACAGCATTTGGTGTGTTTTTAGTTTTTTGATGTTCGAAATTTGATTGCCTACTGGATTGGACAGTGCATTTGACTTGTTTTTTTAATGTTTGCCTATTAGATGTTTGTATTGATAATTTAATTGAGTAAGTGCCAACAGGCACATGATCACTAGCTTAATACATTATTGAAGCACAAATTTCACTGGTTGGATTGTAGCCCAACTTTCTGAACTGGTTGGTCACTGCAGATCACCAGAAAGAAGGCAAAGAAATGAAAAATTTGGGATCCTAGTTGCTTATAAATCTAACAGTTTGGTTGCATAGAGCAAACATAAAACATGAGATCACAAATTATGAATACAGTTTACAACAATAGCAGCATAGAAAAAACAAAAAATGATATTTTATTTCATGTTTTTGCATCAGCAGCCAATATATATTCAAAAAAAAAATAAGAAAAAAAAGTGGCGTTTTTTAAAAAATGCCACTTAATGATGTCATGCTGACATCACACGTTAGCTTCTTGCAGCAGAAGCAGGACAAACAAATAAAATAAAATAAAATAAAGTGGCATTTTTTCAGAAACGCCACTAAATGACGTCATTATGATGTCACACGTTAATTTGGGACGGAAGAGGCGACGGGCGTCAAAGATTTTACGGCGTTTTAAAAAATGCCATCTAATATTTTTAGCGACGTTTTTTAAACGTCGAAAAGCTATTGCGACGGCCGTATCAGCGACGAAAATATTAAACGCCGCCATAATCTATTACGGCATTTTTCAGGCTTTTTGCGGCGTTTTAAAAACGCTGCTAAAAAGCAAATTTCCTGTAGTGGATGTTAATATTATATGTAGATATTAGTTGTTGCTAGCCTAGCTTAATATTATAGTAGATATTATATGTAGTTATTAGTTGTTGCTATGTAGATATTAGTTGTTGCTAGCCTAGCTTTGCTATGTAGATATTAGTTGTTGCTAGCCTAGCTTAATATTATAATAGATATTATATGTAGTTATTAGTTGTTGCTAGTTGTTGCACAGATAGATGCTATAGATGCTTTCTTTTCTTTTCGGTGGCTTCATCATTTTGTCTTGTAAAACATCTCCTATATAATGGAGGTTCCATTTGGTTGCAATACACATCAAAAATATAGAGCTAATATTTGCTCTCTCAATCTCTCTCAATTTCTTATAAGATAGTTGTTTCATTTTGGTTAACAAGTTCCTCATACTCTGTTAAATTTTTCTGATATAAAGTGCAAATTATTTTTTATTTTATTTATTTGTTTGAATAAATGAGTAGACATTTTAGCATGGATGTTTGAATGCAAATTATTTATGTTTTGGTGGGCTAAAATGGTCTGGATGGAAGATGCCAATACTTCAGTCATTCCATTTGGTCTTGTTGGTCTCAAGTTTACCTTGTAATCCTTTGTTAGTTGCATGCCCAAGCTCGACAACAAAAAATAAAATCTGCAACCTATGTGTTCTATTTTTTGAATTAGACAAATATCAATTTTATCAAAACAGAGATTTCCATGGCTACACACAGTAATGATTTGGATCTGTTTTTCGATGTCAATAGTTTTTGTTCGAATTTGATTGCAAAAATGATTAGATTTACATTCAATTAGTTTGAATTCGTTCAATTGACTGATACTCATGATTAAGGTTTTGATTTTCATCGATCTAGTTGTTTGTTCGTTTGATGTGGCTGTCTCGAGTTTGAGTCGAGTGATTGTTTGTTCTTTTGGTTAAGTAGAAATTAACGAATAGAAAGCACAGAAAAAATGAACTCCTGATTACTTCTCCTCGTCTCAGTTGAGAGGGATTTTCTATTTGTTAGATTCGAAAGAGGCAAATGTGTTGCTATTCAAAGCCTTAATTTCAATTTTGTTTTTTTACGAGTCTGACAGAGAGTAAGGTTTTGATATGGTGTTTTTTTCATATGAGAATTCAAAGGACAAGGAGAGTAGAATTTGGCCTTCAGTTGAAGTCTGGTACCAATCTTCCTATTCATTAATATCTTTTCTTTCTGCTACTAGTAAGTTGCAAGTAGGGAATATGATTATGCCTTCATTCAACAGTTTGTGTTCTAAATGATATTTGTGATCCATGGTTTTATTAATGGGTTATAATTTCCCATTCTTCTACAGAAAATTTTTAAGTGTTGGCCCATTGAAAAATATATAGAACATCATTTTTGGATTATACTATATGCATCAATTTTCATTGTTCCTTACTCTCCCAAACAAATATTTGAAAAATAATAAACTTGTGATCAATTGTCTAAAAAATACAGTTGCAAGTCCATTTTTATCAAAACTAAATATCAAAACACCATCTAGTATGACAATGATAAAAAACATTTTGTTGAACCTACAACGATTTTTTTTTTTTTTGGTTGAATTTTTTGCCTTGGTGCATATTGATAGATATTAATGGGGGAGAAAATCTAAAGATCAAAATTATTAGCCAAAGTGGGCACATGTATAAAGACATACATTGACACCACAATGAAAAAAAAAAATTCACAATTCATTTATCAATCTTGAATATATATGTATATATACAAGAGATATATATGAAATAAAAAGGAAGAACATTACACCATAAAGAGGCATCCAACAAATTAATCAAATCCAATGTTCAATTGGTTTACAAAGACAAAGCACGGTTAAGTGTACATTATGCTTGTATGAGTATGGCAACAGCATTTGCATAGATATTATGCTTCTACAAAATCAATCACATTCTCACCACTCAATTCTTGAAGCCTTGAGAATGGTATTGGTGGGTAATGATTTACCAGCATAACATATAACTGCAGCATAACCTCAGTAGCAGAACATATAACACATCAACACAGAACAGATAACATAGGCTACACTAACAGCACAACCCAGATCATACACTAAGCTCAAAAACCATTTCGAAGTACATCTAATAACTGAACTTGGTATCCATACAGAGACCACACACAGACCACTAAGATCAACCCAGACCATACTCAAAAACCATTTTAAGGAAACAAATATATAACAGCAAAGTACATCTAATATCACAGAATCTGAAATCACATTATACATAGAATCTTCTCCTTCATTCTTGGAGGCTAACACTCACAATATAAAATAAGAACTTAAGCAACATAATAACACAAGATAAAAAATTGTCTTAAGCAACGATAAAAAACTGTTTCAGTAGCAGCACTTACAGTTTCAACAGCAGTTTCATATGGACAAATCTTTAGCAGCACTTTCAGCAACAGATGGGCAGCAGAAATTAAGCAAAAAATGGACAGCAACACATGGACAGCAGCACTACATCAGTTTCTTCAGTTTCAACAGCAACACATGGACAACAGCAGCACATGGACAACAACACATGAAATATATCAGCAACATATGGACAGGTGCTGTGTTTTGTTAATGTTTATGAGCTGCTATTTTAGAAATTTGCAGTGAACAAAGATGAACAATCAGTTTAATGTTTATGAATAGTTTAAGCAGTGAACAAAGATGAACAATTAATGTTTATGACTAGTTTAATTAATGTTTATGAAGATGAACAAGCAGTGATCAAAGATGAACAATCAGAAATATTATATTCCTCTTTCAGTTAAACCAAGCAGTGAACAATCAAAAATATTATATTCAGTTTAATTAACAATCAGGTAATTTGTGGATGAAGATTACCAGAAATATTATAAAATCATTTTATAAAATTATCACATTTGATTTGTGAATATAAATCATTTTATAAAATTATCACAATCAGAAATATTACATTCACAAACCAAACCCAAAAATTTCAGAGCTATAATTATCAAAAAAGATTACCAGCTATAATCAACAAAGGACTGGAAGAGGAAGAGTTCAAGAAGATGACCGAAATTTGAGAACTTTTCGTCGTTAACATATAACTTGTCGTCAATTACAAATCATTCAACAATTCAACAATGAAAGTTAACATGTAATTAAATCAACATTTCATTGAGGCATTTAAACAAACATCTCAAATTCACAAACAACTCAACCCAAAATTCTACAGAGGCATCCAACCAATTAATCAAATCCAATGTTCAATTGGTTTACAAAGACAAAGCACGGTTAAGTGTACATTATGCTTGTATGAGTATGGCAACAGCATTTGCATAGATATTATGCTTCTACAAAATCAATCACATTCTCACCACTCAATTCTTGAAGCCTTGAGAATGGTATTGGTGGGTAATGATTTTCCAGCATAACATATAACTGCAGCATAACCTCAGTAGCAGAACATATAACACATCAACACAGAACAGATAACATAGGCTACATTGACAGCACAACCTAGATCATACACTAAGCTTAAAAACCATTTCAAAGTACATCTAATAACTGAATTTGGTATCCATACACAGACCACACACAGACCACTAAGATCAACCCAGACCATACTCAAAAACCATTTTAAGGAAACAAATATATAACAGCAAAGTACATCTAATATCACAGAATCTGAAATCACATTATACACAGAATCTGCTTCTTCATTCTTGGAGGCTAAAACTCACATTATGTTGAACCTTTTGAACCTTTTTAGCTTATCCAAGAAGCTTGAACTTTTTTTAGCTTCTTGAGGAAGCTTGCACCTTTTGAACCCTTGGTTTTAGCTTCTTGGGGAGGTTTGAACCTTTTGAACCTTTGTTTTAGCTTCTTGAGGAAGCTTAAACCTTTTGAACCCCTCGTTTTAGCTTCTTGGGAAAGTTTGAACCTTTTGAACCCCTCGTTTTAGCTTCTTGAGGAAGCTTGAACCTCTTGAAAACCTCTTTAGCTTCTCCAAGAAGCTTGACCCTTTTTAGCTTCTTGAAGAAGCTTGAACCTTTTTTAGCTTCTCCAAGAAGCTTAAACCTCTTTAGCTTGAACCCTCTTGTTTCTCTATAACAGAGGGCCTCCCTCTCCTTTAGAGAGGGTTCCAAAAATTTTGTTTAAGGCTCCAAGATATACCTCTCTTTATATCTCTATATTTTGGGTT